CCTGCCTCTGCCTCTGGAGTGCTGGGATTAAATGTGTGCGCCACCACCACCCAGCGCGTTGGTTCTTTTCTACCATGTGGAATGTGGGAGTGGATCTTGTTGTCAGGGTGACAAGTCCCCTACCCACCAGCCCTCTTGTCAGCCCCTCCATGTCCTGTTTTGCTTGTAAACAGCTCCCTGAATCTGGAGTTCATTTACTCTGTTGTCTAGTCGGGCTGGCCAGGGAGTCTGGGGATCCACTTCTCTCTGTCCCTGACCCCTGCCCAGGACTCGGGTTACAGACACCAGTGCACCTGGCTTTTTATGGGGACTGAGGATTTGAACTCGGGTCCTCATGTCTGCACATCAGACTTTACCCACTGAACCATCTCCTCAGCCTAGTGTATAGCTTTTATATGTCAGTTTAAAAAAGTAAATGATATGGTAACACATAGCTTTAATCCACACAAGAGGCAGAGGCATCTGAGTTTGAGGCCAGCCTGGTCTAAAAAGTCAGTTCTAGACCAGCCAAAGCACAGTGAGACCCTGTCTTAAATGGGGGGCCACAATAAATGGGGTGCAGATGAGGTAGTAGAGATGACCTTTGACCCAGCTTGTTTCCCAGTGTCCTGTGCCGCTTCAGGTTTCTCAGCCTGGACATTGCTGATCAATCACAGGCATGAGCGGTCCTTTGCATCGGAAGACGTAGAACAAACTTGGCCCCAACAGCCTCTGCCATGTGTGACAGCCTAGGATATCAGCAGCCATTTCCAGATGTCCCTGGGTGAGAAGATGGAGTGGCTCCCAGTTGAAAATCACAGACCCAGTTCTTGCCCTTGCCAACAGGCAGATGGTCCCAGTGTGTTACCTTGGCTCAGAGCCCACAGGGACTTCTGCCTTGCTCAGGATGGGCTTTCCTAGGGCCTGAGTAACCTCTCAGTCTCCAGACACTGCCCAGCATCTATAAGGCTGCTCTTATCTCTGGAAAGCTCACTGCCTTACCTAGGTCTGTGGTCAGATGTCACCTCAGAGTGACCTCTTTATAACCCCCTTGTTGCATTTTGTGTGTGTGTGTCTCTGGCCTGTGTCTGCTCTGCTTCCCTCACTGCCCTGGAGCTGGAGCCAGGCAGAGCAGAGGCTGGACACACACTTGGACAGTGGATGATTTAAAGCCTCCTTCCCTCCTCCACAGCATGGCCCTGAGTTGTTTCCAGAGGAGACAATGAGACTGCCCCTTGCCGTGTTCCATTACATGTACCCAAAGTGACCCATGTTTATTTCACACCAGCCATGACTCCTCCTACACAGAGCCAAACATTTGGTGTCATGGCTTCTCTCCCGCTCTTCCAAAACGTCTGTTCACCGATGCTTTCCAGGAAATGCTAAACATTAGCTGGCGAACTCTGAGTTGCTGAGCACTTTAGAGGCTATGACAGTTAAAATCTACAGGTTCCCACTCAAGTCTGGTTCTGGTGACCGTGTTGTGATGGCAGCATTCGGGGCACTCACTGGAGGTAGGGACCTGGGTTTGTCCCACAGCTCTCATTTTGCAGTAGAATCCCCTTTTCTACTCAAGCGTGTGCAGTGTAGTGCAGTCTGGTGTTCACTTCCTGGTGATGTCTGGCACCTGTGACTTAAGTACTTGACCTTTCAGGATGGAGCGTGTGGACCCACTGGAGATAGGTTTTACTCTGTCCTGTCTCTGCAGCTCTTGGGAGGGATACGTGTCGTGTAGTGAAAGAAAGAAAAAACAGGAGCAGGGCTGCCGAGTTCAGGCCCAGGCTCTGTAGCTTCTGTGAGCTGTGTGACCTTGAGTAGCTTTCTGTGTGTCTGCTTACTTACCTGTAAAATGTTGATGACAGTGCCGGGCAGCGGTGGTGCACACCTTTAATCCCAGGTAGAGCCAGGCAGATATCTGAGTTTGAGGACAGGCACCAAAACTACACAGAGAAACCGTCTCCAAAAACAAAACAAAACAAAAATGTTGATGACAGTTAGGGTGGTGGTAATGTGTACTTCATGGAGTTTTGGGCACCTCAAGGGTAACACATGCAGTATCCAGAAACCAGCCTGGGATCTAGAGTGCAGAGCAGAGGAAGCTCCTCAGAGCCACAGCGGGACCTAACAGAACCGGGGACATTGAGAAGCAGAGCCCATGCTAGGGCACGGAAGGAAAGGGAAGGGGCATTGAGTAGAACTGTGTGGTGCGCCACTACCCAAGCTGCAGAGCAGAGAGACAGTCACAGAGGGTGATAGAGAGCCTTACCTGTCCCCTTTCAAGACTGGCAAGGCCAAGAGAGTGGCACATGGTAACCCCCACCCCCTTTTACTGTCTTCCTCCCCACTGCTCCCGGTGCCAGTAGGTCTCTGGGGAGATGGAGCTCCTTGTAATGGCAGGATCGGAAGAGCTGAACAGTTTCCAGGTGGAGAGCCACACTCTGAGCCGAGAAGCAAAGGGGGGGGTCACTCTCCTATGGGATCTCTCCTGGTATACAGGGTCTCTGCTTCATGCCAGTGAAGGCCTGTACATGTGTAGGCCTCCCCTACTTCCTAGCAGTGCCTGGATCTGACAGAGGCCACCAGGAACATGATCTGCAGACTCAGCTCAAAGCTCTTCTTAAGGGCCCTCTACCCCTTGAATTTCCCAAATGCAGCTTCTGGGTTTGTTTGTTTGTTTGTTTGTTTGTTTGTTTGTTTGTTTGTTTTTTATGGCTTAGGCCACTAATTGGTGGTTTTGTGACCTCTAAGCTAAGGGGCAATTGAGGTAGGGTGGGGCAGCACCAAATACCTTCACAGTTAGAAAGGGGCACTGGCCTCTTCACATACCCCTCATAGCCTTGAAGCAGAGGAGGGAAGAGCCTTTCAAGACCTCAGCCTATGTCCCAGGGGCCAGGCAGCCAGGCAGCAATGGGTGATTGCAGCAACTGTTGGAACATGTGCAAGTCAGTGCTTCTTTGTGGCCTCCTAGATCCTGTCACAGGTGCCCAGAGTTGGCTGCTGAGGTGCCATGTGCACATGTAGACAGCAGGCTGATGTTTCTTAGCACCAATCACAAGGCTGTTGTTGTCTGGAACAGGTCCTGGGTCCCTATGGGAATTTTGCATTCCTGCTTGGCAGTGGTCCGTTGCCTCCATTAAGTCACATCCTACTTCTGGAGTTTGTTTAGCTCTCCTTGCCAGAGCATCGGTGACCTTGTAGTAGAATCATCCTTCACAGTTGAGAGGAGAGCCCTTTGCTAGGGGTACTGGATGGGTGGAGTTTGAGGGGATAGCTCTTCCTGGTGTGTATGTAGTTGTCAGTCTTTGAAGAGGGGAGATGCTGAGCTCTCCACCACTTACAGCAGAGGAGTGGCAGGGAGCAGTCCAGATTTGGAGACCCAAGAACAGAGGAGACAAACTAGCCTGGCAGAGAACCAGCTCTGCCTGGGCTGTCGGAGGCCGTCCAGCAGCTTGGTAGCAGTAGATGGCAGATGTTGGGGGTTCTCAGGGATCAGGACAGGCTCTGCAATGCCACAGATAAGGAACATGCTGCAGCTGGGCAGGCAGGGTGACCCAGATTAGGAGGGTGGTGTCCAGTGATAGCTGGCTTCAGGGTACCAGCCACAGCCCAGTGTCATGCCAGTCCCCCACCCAGTCCTGAGCACTGATCAGCCAGGGTCAGAGGGCAGGCACTTGGAGAAGGATTTTACTCATCAGGATGTTTGCTTTTGTAGAATGAGCTAAACCCTGGGTAGAATGCATTCTGCCTTCAGATCTGCTGTTTGCGTGTCTCTCACTCACATTTTCTTTACAGCTGAAACTAGAGGACCGGTCTGTGGTACCCCGGGATGTGGTCCGCCATATGCGTTCAACCGTGAGTCTCTTGTCCCCATCCCATCCTGAGTCTTGAGCCTCTCTGCTCCCACTCTTGTTTGGAGGAAAGCTGCCTGGTTGGGGAGTGGAGGTCTCTTGGGACTATCTTGGTGGGGTGTGCCATGGCAGCCTTGTGGGAAACTTTCTCCCTCCCCTAGGACAGTCAGTGTGGCACGGTGATAGATGTCAACATTGACTGTGCTGTCAAGCTCATTGGCACCAACTGCATCATCTACCCTGTCAACAGCAAGGACCTCCAACACATCTGGGTAAGTGACCTCGCTCTCATCTTGGCTGGATGGCACAGTGCTTGTTCACTGTAGCCAGCCTGCTCCTGGCATCCTCAGTGTCGCTCTTGCAAGTGAGCTATTAGACATGAGGTCAGGGTGTGCTCTTCCTCAGCATTAGCACCAGTCACTGACGAGTGTGGTTATTTTACTTGTTTTCTCACCTAACACTGACATTTGTTTGCTTGCTTAATGTGTAAGACTGTTTTGCCTGCGTGTGGTCTGTGTACCACTTACATATCTGGTATCAGAACGAGTTGGATTTCCTGGAACTGGAATTACAGATGGTTGTGAGCTGAGCCATCTCTCTAGTTCCATCTAACACTTAACTTTTAAAACAAGAGGGCTGGAGAGATGGCTCAGCAGGTAAGAGCACTTGTTCTTGCTAACGACCTATGGTTCCAGAGAATTCAACTCTGTCCTTTGACCCCCTAAGAGCACCAGGCACACGCGTGGCACACATAAACACACATGCAGTAAAGTTTTCATACACGTAAAGATAAATAACAACAAAACAGGTTTCTTTTTAAATAATTTATTTTTGTCAATGACTTTAGTCTTACTAATAACTTTAGTTCGTGTGCGTCCTCCTCCTGCTCCGGTGTCTACAGCTGTTCACCCTCCCACTTACTCTGGTCATCTCCGTCCAGCACCTCCCTCTAGCCTTTGGTCTCCTGAACCATTAGGAAGAAAGCTACATGTACAGCACCCCTGCTCACTAGACAAGGGGTCAACGACGCCACCTTTCTGCCCAAGCCTCTGACTGTTCAGTCATCCCAACAGCGTCCTTTCCCTCTGGGCCCTGAGCTCGTTCAGGAAGACCCCTGGCATTTTTATTTGCTTGTTAGTTCTTCCTTTTCTTTTCCACCTGGGATCAATCCTCCCCAGTCTGTCTTCTCTTCCATCCTGGACAGCGATGCTTCTAGTACTGTGACCCTCACCTTCAACAGCACATGCAAACTCACTACCAGCATGCCCGATGCCCCGTCCAGCTGCCCCCGGGCTTTATGTCCAGTAGCTACACTGCCACTGGGGACTCCCTCAGCACTCAGGTCTGGTTGGTCTGCACAGCACTCTACTGTTTAAAAAAAAAGCCCTCTTACATCACCCTTATATTACCCTTGTGAGTAACTATATCCCATAGAGAAATCGCCCACAGATAGCATCCTTGTCAGATAGTCATCTGAAAGCCATATCCTTGGGCATGTTGCCACCTAAGTGGACCACCACTCTGACAGTCACACATGGTGACCGAGGCCATCGTTCCTCGTTTGTATTGATTGACAGCTCTTCTGTATGGAAGAGCTGTGCCTGCTGCCCTGTTCATTCCTTATCATTTTTATATGAGTATATACTCCAGTTCTGTTTTATTTTACGCCTTATAGTACAGTTCCCTCATCACATGTTTTGCTTTAATTGTCCCAAACTAGGAAGCTCTTTGGTCTGTCTGGCTTCTGTCTGCTGAACACTTTTTTCAGCAGTGAGAGCACTGCCTTCAGTGTCCATGGTGAACTGACCTTTTTATTCAAGGCTCTCTGTCCACAAAGCCCGCCTCCCAAGCACGCCCGCCTCCTGGCTTTGCTTTGTCTCCTTTGCCACTGTGCGATACTCCCACCTCCTAGGCAGTCCACACACTACTGCTGCCCACTCACTGGAAAGGGGCTTGGGATGCAGTGCAAATAAATTGTCTAGAACCTTCCTTCTACATCTTAGCACAGTAAAGAAAGAAAATCCCAGGCCCTGTGCTCTTGCTCACTGCCCTGTGTCCTTGGTCTGTAGCCCTTCATGTATGGAGACTACATCGCCTATGACTGCTGGCTTGGAAAGGTCTATGACTTGAAGAACCAGATCATCCTCAAGTTGTCCAACGGTGCCAGGTAGGTGTCGGCTTGGGGATGGCTACCTGTTCCAGAGTGGCACGGGAATTTCTCCAGGAGCTATGGGGTCAGGTGTGGTCCAGGACAGTGACCTGTACCCCAGGCTAACTCTGTGATCTCCTGCTACAGCTCAGGTTTGGGACTATCTGAGCTTAGTAGTATGACGCCATCTAAGTGTCTCTGAGGGTTGGTGCTCTGTTCTGCGTGTGTTAGTGGTGGCAGGCATTGATGTGGGGCTGGGCTAAGCTGTAGGTGGAAGATAAATGGTGTGTTTTAGGGCATGTTTATAAAGTCTTGGTGCCTCTGGTCCCTGGTGTTGGTGCATACTGTGCCCTGGTGGAGACCAAGCCTCTGTCCTCTGTTTCAGGTGCTCCATGAATACAGAAGATGGCGCCAAACTCTATGATGTCTGTCCACATGTCAGCGACTCGGTACATATGCTCTATCAGAGGGGTCACCCTGCTCTGTTCCTCACCTGCTTAGGCATGAGAACTGTCCGAGGCTAGACAAGGGATTGTGAGGCAGGGGCGGGGGCAGTGTGCACCAGAGCAGCTGGAGGCCTGGGCAGGGCCGGAAGCAAATACTAGCACTGTATTTGAGTTGTGTTAGTCATTTTGTTTGGATGGTTGACTGGGCTGGGGGTGTGCTTTAAGATTTATTGTATGAGCGAATCAGAAAGAGAATGTGTTTGTAGGAGTGTATGGAGGCAAGAAGAGGTGTCAGATCCCCTGGGATTGGAATTAGAGGTGATTGTGAGCCACAAGTTGGGTTTTGGTGGGTCCTCTGCAAGAGCAGCCAGCCCCTGGTTTTTGAGACAGTCTTGCTCTGTAGCTCAGGCTAACCTCCAGCACAACCCCCCCCCC